AAGTGTTGGCTGTAGAATTTTTGCCCATAAAATAAAGTGAAGTAGTTAACCCATGAAGTTTATTGAGCACTTCGGTCAAAACAGGGCCTGCAGCAGGGCAGAAATTTATTAGAAGCGTCTCTTATATTTCGTATTATTTCACTCATTCAATTCATAACTCGCAATCAGCGATGAAAAACCAAGGAGAAAAAAGTACCTATGCATGCAACATATTATTTTAAGGAGATGACACTGAGCTGGCGCCATGCGAATTATTTTTTGTGTTAAAATTGAGTTTATTTTCTTCAATTTAAAAGAAATTAAAGATGATTCGAGTTTAATGTAAAGTGGCAACTAAAACTGCAAGGCTTAATTAAAGTTGGGTCGAATCTGGCTTTAAGAAGGAGGAGGACAACATGAGATTAATTGGGATTAGACCAAGTGTCAAACTCAGGAGAATCAGCAAGAGAGCGAGAGATTTGTGGTCTCTAATCTAGCGGATTAAGCAGAACGGCACAAATGACGTTTGTTTGGACACTGCTTTTCGAGGGGAATGAGATCTCTCGCTGGGTCTGATATTGACGTATGTATTCCTGTGCACGTCTTATTATAAACCAATTGTTGTTGAGTTGAGAGTTCCGCAGTATTGATTGACTAAAAATACCAGAATTTAAGATAGATGTCCGTAGACTTGTGCCATTGTCAGGTTTAAGTTTAAGACATTCTTGCCTCAGTGCTGTACTTGATCATATTTCTATTTTGCATTTTGAACGATCAGTCCAATAAAAAAAGCACAAAATGCTACAACTTTAGTGGTAGAGTTACTTGCTCTGTTTTATTTCCATCCATCAGAGAAAGCCATCACGATAAGATGCAAATGACGGGCACTTAAATATAGCTTGGACGAAAGGAAGCCTTGAGACCCCAAGAAACTGATCGTTCTAGGCCGACTTTTTTTTACAATAATCATGATAAGTAATGAAATTGTTTCTGCTCTCGGTTTGATTCTGTATCGCCTGACTTTTACTATTTGCTGGTGGATTTGCCAACATTCGTCTGGACAAGAGAGGGAGGAAGTTAAAGTCACTCACATTGATTCAGCAGAACACAACTTCACCTTCCTATTTGCTACATATTCGCAATTCTGAACATGCAATATTCCATTCTTGGGAAATGACTTGGTTCTGGGTTTTGTGGGATGGGAAATTCTTTCTTACGTTTGATGTTGACGTATGTATAACCACTTATGCACATTAAATGGTTACTTACAGTGCACAATGTACATATATCGGCTAAAAATATAAAAAGGTCGGTTGCTCTACCTATTACACCGTCACTCACAAGGGAGGTCTCCCAGCGTAAGCTCACAGATTTTTACAAAACTAGTGTCAATCGATCGCAAATTTGATTATGAAATTTGCAAAAGACACGATCTCCCAATGGGCAGGTTTGGCAGAGATATTTGCAATCCGACCGAAGAGGAGAAAGTGCGCTCAAAAGTTGACAAATTGTACACTTTCCAAGTTACTGGGCGTTTTCTCCTCTCCGGATGCAAATATCTCTGATAAACCTGCGCATCTTTTGCAAATTTCATACTAATCAAATTTGTGATCGATTGACACTAATTTCGTTAAAATCAGAGAGCATCCGCTGGGATACCTCCATTGTGAGTGAGGCTATCCAGACCAGTGCATAAATACAAGTATGACTGACATGGTTTTGTCTGAGAAAAAGAATGTTGGATATTTATGAACTCATGACGAGTGAGTGATTCTCTAGATGAGAAAAGAAAGTGTTTACAGGACAAGTTGGGCGGAGAAGGAGAAGTAAACAAAAAGAAACTGCAGCGGAAAGGTGTGTCCTCCTAAATAAAATAAGCGAAGAATGACAGAATAGAAATATAAGCCTGTTGTTGTCACACACACACATTGTCAATTGCGCATTATTATTATTATCGTGTTCATACTTTGTAAGGCAGGGACAGGTGTTGCCGTCGTTCACAGTCTCACAATTTATTACACTTTTGAGTCTATCAACAGTTTGAGGGCTAACACGAGCGAATATTTCTGCTTGGGTGGCGGCGGCGTGGTGACAGGTTGTGTGTGAAGAAAAGCACTGTTTCTTCCGGTACACAAGTGATGCCAATTAAAAAAATGGAACGATTTGAAATTTCCACGTCTGCATTTTTTTTCTTTGGAACACATTTCGAAATGACTGCTCTTTTTTTCCGTTTTCGTATCCGTTTACTTTCTCGATATCCTCCAGATGTTTTTTTTTGACGGGCAAACATCTGCCAATGTAGATAAGTTTTGTTATTATTACGTTATGGATTTAGAAGAGATACACCAATTCAAATAAAACATTTACATCCAAATTTTCCGAAAATTTGGAGAGATTGCATCTGCCTTTGCTCGTACATATCTCTGTCCGTCTGTCTCTCTCTCACTTTACGTACGTACTTTTATTACTTTCAATTTTAGCCTGAATCCTATTCAAGAATTCTATAATTTGACTTGGATTCCATTCCATGACTTGTACAATCTTTAATCTATTGTCAATTCAAAACTATTGTGTGGAACAAATACCTAAATAGGAGGGGGAATGAGGTAGCGTGAGACAACCGTTTATATGACACATTATAAATCTACACCTTTTATTATTAAAAGATTAAACGAAACAACAAATGTAACGTTACACAATAATTTTACCTTTTGTATCGTACTTTCTCTTCAAAGAGAATCCCATTAGTTGAAAGAATGAAAAGAAATCAACTCTTTCAATCTTTCTCCAGCCGTACATAAATACTTGATTTGTGCCCCTGTAGCATTCTATTTAATGTTTCGGGTTATTTTTGTTGTTGTGATTTGATCAAGTTACGAAAGTAGCTTGTTTTCCGCTGCTAAACTATGGGCTCAGGCTCAGTAGTAACGGAAGTAGTAAAACAGTAGGGTGAAAGCATTGCACTCTATTCTTCTGTGGCTTGGCTGCTGGTCTGGTTTATTATGGAGAAAGAAAGAAAGAAAAGAATACACACTTGGAAGCAGTCGCAGTTGCAGCAGTGTTTTTTCTGCGTGGGGAAAGGAAGAAAAGTCGAAATAAAGAGAAAGTTAGTTTTTTTCGGTTCTGTGCGTTGTTTCTCTTACGTTATTAGTATGGAGTGTTGTATGATTCATAGAGAGTTTCTTTCTGACGCAGTATTATGTCGTTATCTGCTGAGATTGAAACTCGGATACTTTTCTGAAGCAAAACTAAATTGCAGGTAGGAAAATGTAGTATATTTTTTATGATTCGCGCAACAAAAGATCAAAATTTGTAAGATGGTCATTCTTAAAATTTAAACTTTCTCTTGTAAAAAAATGATGATTATATTGGATTATTCGAATCGTTGTCATATTTATAATGCTGTGTAAACGTAGTTAGATTAGTTAATTAGTATATGACGATTTCAGGAAGCATATTTTCCATTTCACCACTTTGAATTACTTTTAATCTATTTTTATCCCGTGCCTTACTATTTCCAATTTAGGTATTCCTTACAAACTTTTGTACATATTTATATGGGTCGAATCGCTTTTCTTATGCATTCTCCGTCTGGCTAGATGGGGTCATGCTTTAGCATAATAATTGCCGAGTTGAACAATACGAAAGGGTAAATTAGCTATGGTGGCATTTCAACACATGCACCAGGAACCACTTTACTTTCTGATTTCAATTCCTTCTTATACAAAAATCTCTGAACATGCACAACTTCCACGGGCACGTAGACTTTGTGCACATAATATTGCACTGCATCAGGGTAGGAGTTGTCAGCCCATTTCATTTCATGCTGCTACCAACCACCGCTTATTAAAACCGTCTTGACTCTCGGTGTCGAGCCTATTATTAAAAATTGCCAGACAAAGAAAGAGAACCCACGGCTCATTATTACCTAAAATAAGAAGTGTTTGCTCACTGGAACTCGTTATATCCTGGAAAAAGTTGTTGGTTATTAAGCTGCATAGCGGTAGAAGTGCGAATCGATACGTTTCCTACTTCCACCATCACGACCCAGTGGCCGCGGAAGCGTGGGGGCTGAGGGACAATGTCCCCATCATCTGCCCATGTTATATAAACCCCTCCCTCCCCTATCGTACAATGTTAATGTCCCCACATGTCCCCACAGCTTCTGCGGCCACTGCCACGACCCGAACTTGTTTTTAATATGTATGTCCACAGTCCAGACCAGACGACGTAATGACTTTTCACAATACAACGTTCTTTAACTCACTCCTTTCCCCTCTCGTGCATTTTGCATGGCATGCATGAACGTGCTAAACACGGTACCAACCACACGGGAAAAATAACGGGAAGAGATTTATGCACAATTAAAATCTAATTAATCCAGATTAACGTTGCACCCTACCGTTTTTTCATCATATATTTACATATTCAACCCCGACCAATCGTCAACACCACGCCACATACTCAAACCATTTTTTATGCCACCACTTCACTTCACCGTAGAACTATTCTGAAATATTGTTATAACTAATCTACATACTCTGCCAAACTAAAAGTGTGTAATTAATTTTAAGTTTGATGGAATGTAATTAACACTTGTCATTGTAACGACTTAACGGAAAAGTGTATGTAACGTTACGTAACGCTGTTTCACCAGTCTTGCTACTGCAGTTGACACAAAACAACGTGGCATCATCCTCATCCTCCTCGCTTCATTACTCGCACCTCAAGGCTGATAATTAACAACATACTGATCAATCCATGTACTTAATTTATGGAGAAGTATAACCCTACTAATTAGTAATGAAGAATGTCATGTATAAATAATTTAAAGTACTTAATCCTCTGCCTTGTTGTTAACCCAATGTGAAACTAAAACACTAATTATTATTTCTTCTCTAAATGTGTATGGAATACTGAACAGTGTTTTTTCACACTTAACAATTAATACTCGACAACACTCTCGAAAGCAAAAACTGTAAGTAATGATATGCAACCTTGCTTTCGTCTAAATATTTCAGACTATATCGACTCACTACTCTCAGCCTTAGCGTCAAATCAACAAAGAAGAATATACTCAAATTCACTCAATTTAAGAAAGGATCCGTCCATTTCCTTCATAATAAAGTCTCATCGCACTCATTGATCCAACTAAAGCCTTGTACCAACTCCGTCCTAAATATTACTTGTACTTTATCATCAAAGACATCAATATTTCACCGAAATAATAAAGTTACTTCACTTTCGGGCTAATTTCCAGACGACATTTTAACACTGGACTGAACAGAGAGAGGGAAGCAATCTTGCTCATAAAATAGTGGAGAAAGCATCAAAAGAGACAGCTTGCAGGCAGGCAAAACCGAGTTAATAAGGGGAACTAACTTGTCCCAGACTGATTTGCCTGCTCCATCGCTACTACAGGGAGAAAACTCAAGAAATGTGAAATAGGTGTACAGAAGACAGACTGCAAACACTTATAATCTTGAAAATTCCCGAGGGACCGCTCTCAAAAAATTGTACCAGCAGCAGCCTCCTCGTCTATATGGATCTACTCGAATAAAAACCCGGCAAGATCTGTATCTATTTCGTTCAAGATCCTGCCGAAGAAAGAGAGCAATCTCACTTCACTTCTTGTGTAAGAAGAAGGACAAAAAAGAATCTGTAACGAATGAAACGACCAATGGACGAAATTAACATTTAAGAAATTGAAAAATCAAGATTTAGCGGAAAGATATGGATTATGGATGGCAAGCAAAGTGTGTAAGAATGTTTAACCTTTTCTAATAAATGTAGACTATATACAATATTCTTTTCTGAAATTGATCCCTGGCTACTCTATATTACTATGTATAACCATCTACACCCCTCCTTCCTCCTTACGGATACTGTTAAATAGTAGGAATGTAATGTAACGAAATGAAATGAATCTAACTGTCAACTCTGTCAGAGAAGATATGGGGATTATGATACGCCTTAAAAATTAATGTTTTCCCTACATACGCCATTTCTGTGAGCAGGTAGTCTATATGCAAGCACTAGTACGTGCTACATAGCAGACATATAACGTACTTATCCTCCCACCTAACTCGTAATGTACGGATGTAAGTCATATTCAGCAGGGGTGGGAGAAATACTTGACTAAAATACCGTATTTTGAGCCATGTTTTTAAGGGTTTAGATTTCCAGGGCTGTTACACCCACAAAAAAGACGAGAATCAAGCAGTGGAGAATACAGCAGTTATACGAAAATACTGTTTTTTGTGACGAAATTAACTTTTTACGTGGTCAATAGACATTGTTTTCACGATATTTTAAAAATGGTTTGACATGGATAAAACGTTAATTTCTTCACAAAACATATATTTTCGTAAGGCTGTTATCTTCTTCACGTATGTAGATTTTCGTCTTTTTGTGGGTGTAACAGCCCTGAAAATCCAAGCCCTTGGACGAAAAAGGCTAAAAATACTGCACTTTGACCAAGTATTTTGCCCACACCTGCCAGTCAGACATGAAACCTAAAGTAAAAAGAAGTAGATCGAAGAAGCTGGTCATAACCCATCCCATAACTCGTAATGTGATATAATAATATCCGAGAAATCATGTTTGCTGGTTCCATTTCCGTGCGAAGAAGAAGGAGGAGTGCGGATGAAGTGAACGTTACTTATGGGGAAATCGAGAGAGAGAAATGTTTTAAAGAGGGCTGAAATATTACACGTGAACGATCCACCATCTGTTAAATTGTCAAATTTGTCTCCTCTCTACAACTTTAGAAGAGATAAAATCTTTCAACTTTTTTATTTATTTTCAGCCCTTAAATTAAAAATCAAACTAAATTGATCTAGTTAGCTTGGAGGATGTGTCACCTCCAATTTCCTGCAATCTCTTTCATCCTGCCCCGTATGAACTCCATACGTCCTTATATTATCTCCTGCTGTGATTTTTTGCAATATCACATCTCGAGCCGAGTATGCCGTACTTTTTACGTGCGAGATTCTTTTAACGAGCCGGCATACATAAGACCAATGCTTCAAAATGGAATATTTTTATTCCCCCCTTTTTTAAAAACATACATAATTTGTACACCAAAACTGCCTGAATTTTCCCCTCTCGCACTCCACTCCGCCTTGACGACTTCCCGTTCAAAAGTATAATTTGTGAATGGATCGTGTTAATGGATGGCCGGAAGAATTGAAATGAATGAAACGAGGCGCATGCATTGTTTTGGCTGATATTGTTTTACTTGTTGTTGCGTTACTTTGTCATGATTCATACATAGCATACATATAAATGTAAGCTTCTGTATACGTAATATGTATGTATGCATGTATCTACCAGGCTGGTAAATTCCCCGGCTTTTTTTCGCCCGACCTGTAAAGTGCTGAATGTTGTTTAGCTTTATGGAACCATAGGAAAGTGCAATCTTAGAAATGAGACCAATCGACCAAAGCTGTAATACGTCCCACAATGCTAAAGAAAGTTCGGTTGGATTGGACGTGTGTGTGCGGTGAACGAAGGATAACTGAGGTTCTAATATTCTTAACATGTCCACATTTCCGATTTTAAGCTGCATTGTTCTTGCGGGTATTTCATTGCCGCCGTCACTTTATTCAGGTCCAAGTTCAACTTTGTTAGGAAATATGGTGCCTCGAATTATCCGGGAAGAATGAACACTATAGATTTAATTTGTTCAGCGTTAAGTTAGGAATGTTAAAGGGGGGAATAATTTAGAGGGACAAAGGTTGTGAATGCTGATGGCACGTCTTTCTCTATCAAGTAAAGTTTAGATCGGTTAGGTTAGGTGGGGATGGAATGGATCTCAGAGAGGATGATGATGATGATGATGATGAAGGCTCAGTGGCCGCGGAAACAGTGGGGACATTAACATAGGGAAGGGATAGGTTTGTATAACAGGGCAGATGATGGGGACATCGAACAACTGTTGGAACATTGTCCCTCTGTCCCCACGCTTCCGCGGCCACTGATGATGGTTCGTTCCTGAGATGAAGAGACGTTGGAAGTAGTAGAATTTGTTCGTATTCCTATTTGTTGTGTGGAGCATCTCATGCAATTGTACTTGTCGTCGTCATATCTTACAGAATAAGACGCAACCCACATCTTTAAGACATTTCTACTACGCGTATCTAGCTCTTGCATACCTACATAGCTTTACTTACGACTTTCTTACCCTCCACTTGACTACGCTCTTCCATTCGTATAGATATCGAATCGAGTATCCATTAGAAGATGTGGAAACAGATTTCATCTCATCTTCTTCTCCTCTGTTTGTTAGTGTTGGCGAGCTTACAGCATTACTTACGGGGAAACCGGTCAAGTATAACTAAACTATGCATATCATTAAGAAAGTTGTAGAGATGTTGTTTTAGGTGCATTACAATCTCGCGTGGTTCCAGCTGTTTACAAATTTGCTGCTATTTTATGACGGATTGATTGCATTTCGCTAAAATAAGCAGGGCTACAATTGCCCTGCGAAATGGGATATGTTTATCAAAATTAGGTTTCTGTAGGAAGTAGGAAAGTCGAGGAAAAATGCGAAGTAGAGATATTACATGATTCCCTAATTCTGCGAACCAATTTCTTAACCTGCTTATTATAAATGACTCATGCACTAGTGACACAACGTCGACGCGTCCCTTAAAATCAAGCATTTCGTCCAAAGGATTTTTCATTTAGTCGCATTGCTTACGACGAACGACCATAATGTTTGTGTGTACCTATGTCCAATGTCCTATGTACATACATATCGATGGATGGTGCTAGTTAGTTAGCATTACATTAAGAAAAGCAGCATATACATAGCTTCACGTAAGTATTAATGTATGTATGTAGCTCGCTTACTCCTCTGCTGAGGGGATACCTTCTCTCTTCCACCTTCTTATGCATGCTGTGTAATGTTGACTCTTTAACTTAACCAAGAATTTGGTCTTAAGAGTCGTCTCGTCTTGTGTATTACAGATGAGAAGATGACGGAACCAATGCTGCCAGCCACAGTTACGATCTCTCCCTGTCCGCGTGAAGAAGGGTGAGAAGACTTGTTTCCTCCTTGACTCTGTCGACGACGTCTTTAACAAATCTTTGAAAACTTTTGCCAGTCAGTCCGAGAGAAATCTTTGTGAGTGGTGTTTCTATACCCCTCGCATCGCAACGCAACATCCATCCGTCTTCCAACCCGACTAACTAACTTTGCACTTATTAAACATTGCTAAATAAGTCCTCCTCCTGTCCCCACAATCTTCTTACAAAAACCTCCTCTACTAATAAAGACGGCACTTTAAAATAATAATTAATAAATAGGATCAGATATTAAAAACCATATACGACGTTATCAAACGACATTTTTTTCCAAAACGAGAAATCATTCATTTTCTGTGTTCTTCACCATAAGTGCCTTAATTAATTAATTAATTACTTGTTTCGAATACAAAAATAGTAACAACAATCCAGTCAAAAAGTGAGATAAATAATCGCCCTGAAAAAAGAAAAAATCTAAAAATTCTCACTCACTCAGTCTCTTTATCTATGTGCCAAAAGCGAGTCTAGCCCCAAAAAATGAAAATGAGTGACGGACTTGGTGTCACCCTAGTAAACTCTCAACCCGTCAGCGTGGTCCCGTCAGCTGTGGCGACGATGACCACGATGAATAATATCAGTGCGAGTGCCCTTAACTGCAACAGTTTGTCACCCACGAGCATGGCGAATTTGGCCACGGTGGTCAACAACCATGTCAACGCGACCAACATGAACAACGTAACCACCAACGGTGCCAATCATCACCACTTAAATAACATCAATATGAATATCAACATGAATAATAGCCAGCAGAATACGCAGAATATGGCCGATTATTTGGCCCAGCTCATCAAGGATAAGAAACAACTCGCAATCTTCCCAAATTTGTTTATGCATTTGGATAGAGTGCTCGATGAAGGTAAGGAAAATTTAGTTTTACAGATAGATATTTCAGGAAAAGCATGGCATGATTTTTAGGTTCAGGGTTCATCCGAAATTTCGAATTGGAGCATTTTTTATAGAAAATTCAGACCATTCGCATAATATTACGAACTTGTCTCGTGTCTCGTTTGGTTTGTTACTCGTATTTCATGTCAGGATGATCGTGTCATGCTGCACAATAGAGATGTGATGCTCTACTTTTGCACAAGAAGAAGACGAAGATCATAGTTTGCTAAACCTGACTCAATTTTATGACTCGTATGGTACAGCTTCTCTTGGTGATAATAATATTAGCCATCTTTCTTCACTTGCACACATGTAACGTACATAACAAGGCAACAAGTTAGTTTGGGTGTTGGATAGCGATAAAAAAGTAGATGCATTGCATTATGTAGTTTTGACTTCTTTTTTTACTACATTTGACATTGAGCTAGTCTTCTGTTTGCGTGTTTGATTGTATTTGTTACAAAGTTTACTCTGTCGTATGTACATCACATTTTTTTGTGTTGTCACTTAAAGTTGCTTGATGGAAAGGTTTCTTTTTCTCCGAATGACACAATCTAAATTATATAAATATAATATTTGGCTAAAGTGAGCAAATAAATATTCATTCATTTATTGATGTCTACTTGTGTCTTATCAGTTCTTGATAAGTCTATTTTTCCTGTCGTAGGCAAAAGAAAAACTGTTGGTTAGGTTAGTCTTACGATTATTGATGTAAACTTGTGTCTTATCAGTTTTTGATAAGTACGATTAAGGCTATTTTTCCTGGTATGGATGGACAAAAGAAAAACTGTTGGTTAGGTTAGTGACGACGGTTAATCTCTTTCTGAAATGTTTCAAATATCACTAACTCATCAAATTACACGTAATTGCAGCCCTGTAAAATTTAACGATTGAAACAAACATTTCCAAAAATGGGCATAATTATATTACCGGGCTAGCAAAAAAATAATAAGACGAGTTAAATTACTTGGAGTCATAAGCTGTCAGTGGTTTTATTTCGTTAGCATCATGTAAGTATGCAGTCATCGCAGTGTTTCAAGGCAATTGAAATTTAGTTTAATTTTTTTCTGGTTTGCATGTCAGTCTCTAATTTAATTGTGGGAAATAATAAATAAGTAAAAAAAAATCCGTTACTTTAAATGAATACAAGTGTTTACCCCACTTTTCCCACTGGAAATTAGAAGTAGAATGCTAATAATAAGTAAGGGATGCACTTTCCGTTTCACTGCGGGTTGTGACTCTTGCCGTGCCGTAAAAGAAACAAAACCAGAAAAAAGAAGGGAAACAGAAGCAGAAAGCAATTATTTGCGTTTATTCACATGAGCAACCAAGCAGGAAATCTCTTGTTCAAACAAATGTATCAGATTAATCTCAAGTTGATCTGCTGCCTGCCGTCCTTTATATTTAAATTGGTTCGTCTCCAACCAAAGTTATATAGATATCTCAATTGGAGATCCATGGAATTGTATTTCTCCGCTTTTTGGAATGCGTTTCCTCGCTAATTTGGCATTCAAACCGCATTTATTCTAATGTCAAAGTAGCATGACATAACATTACGTTACAAGTGGGAGGAGTTGATCTGTCTGCCCACCCACCCACCACACAGCAGGACAAGACCAGACCACCACACAATCAGATTCCTCTACGGCTTTTATCTTCATTTCGATTTTCTATAAATCACAGAAACATGATCAAATAAAGTGTGATTGAATTCGCACCTTTTTAGCCCGAGTCAGGGCTTATGGAACCGTCATGTCCGTCCGTCTGTCTGTCCGGCACGATAGAGCCAAAACGGCTGAACCGATTGACTTGAAATTTTTACCATATGCGTATTGGACAAAGTTAGGAAACGAGTTCGAAGATGGGCCAAATCGGTCCAGTGGTTGACCGGTGGGGGTCATCGGAGTGGGTGGGGTATTATGCACCAAAATTTCAAAATTGTTGTAGAAAGCTGAAATTTGGTACAGAGGTTGCTAATGGCTCCTACTAGATAAAAATGACTTCAAGTTGGAAAACTTATCATCTTGAGGGACCCTATGGGGTGATCCATACCGATTTTTAGAAATTGCTTTAAAAAGACGAAATCCGGCACAATGATACTTAATGGCTTCTAATTAAAGAATATGAAGTTAAAAGTGAGCAAAGTGCAACCAGAGTGACCCTATGGGGTGACCCATACTGATTTTTCAAAATCGTTATATCGAGCTGAAATTTGATATGGAGGCTGAAAAAGTGAAAACCACTGTTGGATAGCACATGCATACAGCTTAGAACTTCACGATGTTGAAGAAGCCCACTGGTCATGGTGGTCAAGGGGGAAAATTTGTAAATACTTCAAAAATTTGGTGCCAAATAATAGAAAATATCTAACAAACAATTAACCATCCACAACGCGGAAGTTGGTGATATTATGTCGGTCAATTCGGAAAAAAAATTAGAAGCGGGCTCTGACTTATTGAGTCAGGGACTATGTCCCTGACTCGGGCTATATGGAGTCTGCACTGTAGGTTTATTTCTAGAACGTGAACAGCCTCCTCACTTATTTTGCTGATGTTTGCTTATCTTCCTTTTACCATTTCTTTATATCACTTTAAACTCATAAATCAGAATATTGAAAAAAATCAGAGATGTTGCATCTGATAACATAAAATGTGTTTGTGCAGTTGGGTAAGAAGGAATTATGATTTGATCAAATTTATGGGAAAACAAGATGCATGCATACTTTTTAAGGGGAGTCAAAGTTTTGCATTTACATTGAAGATGATTTTTTGTGAAAATTATTTACATTAAAAAGATGAATTTCATGAGTACGTTAACCATTAAATTAAATTACCAATATGTACAAGTATACCGTACTCACTCACTCACGTGTCAAAAGTGACCAACAGTAGTTGACCGCAATTATCGTGTCGTGGCTGAACATGATTACGCCACGCAGGGAGGAAAATGGTCAACCAAAAACTAACCAAAGATGAGATTGAAAGTAAAGTAAAGTTCAATTCAAAACTTTAACGTTATCCCCATTTTCCTGAGAAAATTGTTTCGTTTGATGATGACCAGTTGAGCAGAGCACGATCTAAAGTGCAGGAATGGGAAACACCATAAATTGAAAAAGACTCACTTCAATTTAAATGGTGATTATGTTGTTTCAAGATTACTTTCAAGTGCTAGTGGAACACTTTACGTAATTTATTTACACAAAAGTCCAGTCAATTTAAAATTTACAATTTTATTGGGTCCATTTATTCCTTCCCCCCGCGTTTAACTTAAGGGTTATAATTTCATTGAATTACATTAAATTGATGATGATACACTTTACTTTAATCCCAATTCTGTCTCTATTGACTTAAATTGGCTGGTTGTGAGTGTTACGTTATTTTGTTAGTAATATGATACGTACATATGTATGATTGATAGTCTTGTTGTTTGTTGGAACATTTTTAGGCTCGTGGCTGCCAGTCGTTGTTTGCATATCGTATCTTAAAACGTATGCAGCCACACAATGGCATTGTGTGCCTAAAATGAATTTTGCGAATTATAAAACGCACGCCACAGAGTCATATCCTTAAAAAGCTCCTGCAGCATTTGTCTGCCTCCTCCGTCCGTCGTCATTGTCACCCACGAACGAACGATCGTCTCTAGTACCATGTAATTTTGTAGTATAATTCGCATCCTAGGATAACCTGGTCATGCATATGCATCCGTCATCCGTCGGGTCGCCGGTTATATGTGGTTTCAACTATGGTTGCGGTTTTCCATCTCGGGAAGAGCGAGGTTGGCAGACGATGACATAAATCTTTTAGCTAAATTTGAATCTTATTCGGTTGAAGGGTGACGATCACAATAAAAACATAAATTTGCATGCTGCCACCACGTGAATTTCCTAGTACTCACGGACGCTAAGTCATAATCTTGCAGAAATAATTGCTATTTTTTACCCTAGATTTTTTAATCCTCGTCCTCACCACCTTGCAAAAACAATGTCGACTCCACTAATTTTCTCCGAGTTTTATAGTATCACCGTCACCGTCGTCGGTAAATACGTAACTTGTACATGGTTGCATAAGAATTATGTAGGTATACCTAGAAACTTCTGGCGGAGACTGAACCTGCCCACGGAATAAATTTAATTTAATGCCGTCTCTCCGTGTATGGAACGAAGGAGACGGGACAGGTCGCCAAAGATGGAAGTGTGAATGCAATTCAACATGAATTTCTAATAATGAATAATGAGACATCAACCAGGCTTTTTATTCCACCTTCTTCTTCTCTCCGACCCACCACACACGGACCGATATGTACGTTGGGTAATCTGTGAGATGTACGTAGGTATGATGATAAATAGGATATTATACCCACCACAAACAGTGGTACACGGTGACTCAATGTCAGTCAATATAGTACATGTATGCAAGATCTCATCCGCTAAATAGTAGCACTGACTGGCTACAGAATAATTAAGCATTTCTCAGGTAAGGTAAAATTTACCTGGGAAATACCTACCGCCAAACTTGTAAAATACAGTCTAAAATCGGATTCATTAGCATTTTCACCGACTCCTGTATCAAATTTTGAAATTGACATTTTCAAAGAAATTCTTGTTTTTTATAAGAAGGAAGAAAGGGAAGGTTCGAATAAATTTGAGTACGAGGTGTGAGAAGGTGCATTCTCCACATGCTGCCGAATTTCATGAAAAAAACTGAAAGTTATGCAATATTATTATGCGCTGGATAAGTTAAAGTTTGTATGCATACAAAAGAAGGGAGGCAAGTGGTGTGAACAGGTGAATGCTTTACAATTTCGGGATCGGATTACGCACCTTTCCTTCCAGAGGCATGGATGGCGTTCCTTCATTATATGCATCCTATTTTTTTCTGGGGGACCTTGACTAGTCGGTATGAACGAGGGTCTCTTTTATAGGGTCCACTATTGAATAGGGATGAACAAGTGTATTTGCAACGACCATTATCC